GCAGAACCATCAGTAGGGTTAAAGAGTTACCTAGCCAGAGAGTCAGAATCAGCACGAGTGTCAGCCAGTGTTTCATGTCTGCAGTGAGAGGAGGAGGAGAGAGGAGGAGAAGGAGAGAGGAGGAGAGAGGAAGAGGAGGAGGATGAGGAGAGAGGAAGAACATTGATACTTTGATGGATGTTCGCTATTCAAATATCAAGAATCTCTCTCCAGAATCACAGACTCCGCCTTTTATACACGTGTAAATGTTCAGCGAGGAGGCGTCAGGTTTTTGTACAGAGACTTTGGGTTTGTTGCCACTGTGGGCCTCACAGCACAGTAGTACACAGTAGTACACAGCAGTACACAGCAGTACACAGCAGTACACAGCAGTACAGAGGAGATCTGCAGATGTTTTTATCCAGTCAGTCTACAAGAGAAGCTTGGGTCTCGTCTCACAGAGTTGTAGGACAGAATAACAGTCGTGTCTTCTCTTCTTCTTTGACTAGAGTGACTTCTTCACATCTGACTAACTCATCATGAAAACTGTAGACGATCGATCTTAAAGCTAAATGTTCAGTTAACAGCTGCAGCTGGACGGCTCACAGGAAACAGTTTTATTGTGAAAGGGTTTCTGTGATCACTGTGATTGAAAAAGGTGAAGCTCCTCCCACCTCTTAACACGGCTGCATGTCGAGGACTCAGGTCTCTGCTGCCCTCTGCTGGACAACACTGAGACATAGTACACAAGTACTACCAGTGACCTAGTAAAGTAAAAAGTACAATATATACCTCTGAGATGTAATGGAGTAAAAGTACAATATATACCTCTGAGATGTAGTACAGTATAAGTACAATATGTACCTCTGAGATGTAGTACAGTAAAAGTACAATATATACCTCTGAGGTGTAGTACAGTAAAAAGTACAATATATACCTCTGAGATGTAATGGAGTAAAAGTACAATATATACCTCTGAGATGTAGTACAGTAAAAGTACAATATATACCTCTGAGGTGTAGTACAGTAAAAAGTACAATATATACCTCTGAGATGTAATGGAGTAAAAGTACAATATATACCTCTGAGATGTAGTGGAGTAAAAGTACAATATGTACCTCTGAGATGTAGTACAGTAAAAGTACAATATATACCTCTGAGGTGTAGTACAGTAAAAGTATAATATGTAGCTCTGAGATGTAACGTTAGTATAGTAAAAGTACAATATATACCTCTGAGGTGTAGTACAGTAAAAGTACAATAGTACCTCTGAGATGTAACGTTAGTCTAGTAAAAGTATAATATGTAGCTCTGAGATGTAACGTTAGTATAGTAAAAGTACAATATGTACCTCTGAGATGTAACGTTAGTATAGTAAAAGTACACAGCCTTTCTATGAAGCTCTTTCAGGGCGTTGGACCTTTAACTCGTAGAACAAAGCATCTCATTGGTCAACAGGATCAGGCGGCGGCTGGCCATCCAATCACATCCCTCCATGTTGACACGTGGTCGCGCAGGTCTGCTCTTCAGCAGGAAGAGTCTCCACAATTTGTTTACCGTCACTGAACATACATTTTTACTTTTTTAATAACAGCATAAATTAATCCGTGACTCCCCCCCAGCTGCCGTGTCCAGCGCGTGAAGTGTCGCGCGCGGTTAAAGTGTGATCCGGGTAACTGACGGAGGAGAAGCTAACCGGACAGCTAACGCTAGTTGTTAGCCCCGTTAGCTCGGTGCCGGTGACTGTCAAGAGGTGAGCGCTGTTTAGCATTAGCATTAGCATTATTCCTCCAGAGCTCGCGGCTCTCCCAGCTGTTCTAACCCGAAATACACCGCCTGAGACCCGGACTGGCACGGTGACCACACCCGCTTCCGGTAGCTTGTGACGATGTTTTGTTGTCACACCGAAGCTGTGTAGTTTTTTCTTTTTACATTTTCTTTATGTTTTATTGATTTAGGATATTTTAATATTTTTTCCACATTTCAATAACTGATTTTTCTTAAGAATTCAAAGTTAATTGCCCTTTGAAAGAGTTTACTTGTATTAAAATGCTTTTATATTATTATTATATCAGTGTCATTGTATCACACTTATTTCTGTGACAATATTATATATATATATATATATATATATATATATATATATATATGGAAACACGGTAACGTAAACGATATAAAGTCTCATATGTTTTGCGTTCATAGAAGGCCTCGATCAAACTATTTAAATGAATGTTGGTCTGATGCAGATCGGATCCCCCCTCAGACTCTGACTCAGCTGGTGTGTTACAGACCGTCCTGCAGCTGGTTTCTTTTATGGGCGAGTGAAACGTCGGCCATGAGCGCGGAGCCGGATGCCCTGGTCGTGGTCAACCAGCTGAGGGACTTGGCGGCGGACCCCATGAACCGCAGGACCATCGTCCAGGACCAGGGCCTCCTGCCGGGTCTCATCCTGTTCCTGGACAACCCAAACCCTCAGGTGGTCTACTCCGCCCTGCTGGTGAGCACACACACGAGGCGGATGAGGAGTTGTGTTCGTTTAGTGGATGTGGTGTCGGTCTGACCTGTGATTGGTTGTTGGTCCCCAGGCGGTCCGGTACCTGGCAGAATGCAGAGCCAACCAGGAGAAGCTGAAGGCGGAGCTAGGGATGCTGCTGAGCCTCCAGAACGTCATGCAGAAGTGAGTCAGTCACATTAATATGAGGTTAGAGTACAGCAGGGAACCAACTGAACCGGTATAAAGTAGAGGGAACCTGGAGCTCAATGAGGATCCATTCCTCTGGTTCTGTCGTTCAGATCCACGACTCCCGGAGAGACGAAGTTGCTGTCGTCTGAGATCTACGAGCTCCTGCAGGCGTCCGGCAGCAGTGACTCTGGTCCGGCGGAGGAGTCTGTCAGCAGCCGGCGGAGAGCCCAGTTCTTCATGGGGGCCAGCAACAAGAGAGCCAAGACCGTGGTCCTCCACATCGACGGGCTGGACGACTACGTGAGCACAAAGAGAAAGAGATGATCAGGCCTTCAACACGTAGTTCACCTCTAGATTTACTCCTTCTCCTCCTCTCCTCTCAGAGCCGGAGGAGTCAGTGTGAGGAGGCTCTGCTGAAGATCAGAGGAGTCATCAGCTTCACCTTCCAGATGACCGTGAAGAGATGCATCGTCAGGATCCGATCGGACCTGAAGGCCGAGGTGAGCCGACAACTTTAACTTTAAAAGATTCTGTTGATGTTTCTTTAAATGAAGCTCTGAATGTCTGTCGTCATATTTAATGACATCATCACCGTAGATTAAAGGAAACAATAGATTGTTGTTGTGGTGCTGGAGAGAAAATGATGTTTAAAGGCTGAACGCCAACAAATGTACATTAAAGATGAATATTCAGTTTGAACATTAGAAGTCATTACATCTATGTTTTGAATAAATGTTGACTTTAAGACTTCTACTAATGGAATATAATATAATAGATAATATACAACTAATATAATAGATAATATACATACTTATCTGATTCAATAAATCATGATTTAGATAAAGCAGAAACAATTCTCCACAAACTACTTAAATTAAAGTAGTGCAGTAAAATGCTGGCAGAGCTCCCAGGTTTTACAGACCAGGTTATTATTTCTGACTGATATTTTATTTTTCAGGCTCTGGCGTCTGCAATCGCGTCCACTCAGGTGATGAAGGCTCAGCAGGTGGTGAAAGCAGAGAACGGAGAGGAGGTCAGACTTTATTTATGTTGATGAAGCTCCTTAAAGATTTAAAGACTCCTTAAAGACTTTAACTCTTTATAATCGGTGTATCTTAGCACTTAATAAATGGTTTATAACACACATCTAGATGACCCAACAGACTACCCTGTGGGACTCCATAAGCACTATAACATCTAGAGGACCCAACAGACTACCCTGTGGGACTCCATAAGCACTATAGCATCTAGAGGACCCAACAGACTACCCTGTGGGACTCCATAAGCACTATAACATCTAGAGGACCTAACAGACTACCCTGTGGGACTCCAGAAGCAAATAGATCATTCACAGGATCACACAAGTTCAACTGAAGTTGTCGTCTCCAGGTTTTGATCCCGTTGGCGGAGGACGGTTCAACGGAGGTGGAGCAGAACGTGGACCTGCCGGACTACCTGCCGGAGGAAGAGAGTCCATCTCAGGAGCCCGACAAGGCGGTGACTCAAGTGGGTTCGGACCAGGATGGGAACAGCTGGCTGGGTGCTGCCACCAACTTCCTGTCCCGCTCCTTCTATTGGTGACCCTCTCCGTTAAACCCCCCTGCCTTTTGTCTAAGAACCAAAATCTACCAGCTGCCAAATTTCACCGCTGTCCGTCTCAGCCGGGGAGACAAAAGACTGAGACCGATCCTCTTAACAGTGAGTGTAGAAACGCTGTTACAGCTGATCAAAGAAATAGCAGGATTGTGGTTTCAGTTTGAGGTTTCTGTGAGACCACGTTCTCTCTGGAAAACGGTTCCATCTGCTCTAAACCAAGTTGTCTTAAGAGACAGGAAGTGTACAGGATGTTCCTGCCTTCCTTCGGCCTTTGTCTCGTTATTTATTTGACCTGCAGCTTGATTCAGATTTCAGTCAGTGGTGCCTTCACCTCCTCTGAGGCTGCAACCAGCTGCTGGTTCTACAATTCAGTATTCTCATCGTGCAGTCGTTAACTTATGATAAATAATGCCCAACACTCTTTAGACTGAGGTTTCATGGCCTCAGCCAGTGGAAACAAACATTCATCTTTTACCACTAAACAGTGACGTAACATATGTTTTAAGTGTCGTCGCTCAACAAGTGGACGTCTACGGTAGCTAACCGCTAACTGCTAACTCGTTACTGAGCTCCCGGAGATGTTCTCGATCTACTCCCCACGGTTCTCTTTACAGCCTGCTGCCGTTTGTTTAATGGGAAGTTATTGAGGAGGGAAAGTAGAGTAATAAAGCTGAGCTCGGCCACTAACGGGTGAACACTCTGTGTTCGTCTGTCCGACCTGAACGTCTTTCACTGAACCAACATGAGCTTCTTCTCTTTGTCTTGATGTCAGAAGGTGAACAGCTGACGGTTTGTGAGCGTTTTGCACAGTTTTATCTGAGGTTGTTTTTAAATAGAGAACAGCTGACTGTCTGAACAGACTTATTTATTATGAAAATATTTATTTCCATTTTTGTATCTTTCTTAAAGCACGTTATTGGACAAACAAACAATCTTCTTTTGATGCCTTCTTAAAGACAAAAGAAACCGGTTGATGTTATTTATTTCACACGAGTTTCTTCTTCTTCTATGTTATTTTATTGCAGCGGTGTTTCCTCTGAAGAGGTTAAAATGATCTTTATTGACGGTACAGATGTCTGCTGTCCTCACACGATGCTGCTGTTTGTCCACCTGTGCTCATGTTCCAGGTGTGCTCATAGTTCCGCCCACACCATAAGCAGTCCAATCACATTGTAGGAGCCGGCTGTCGGACGTTATTGTCCCGAATATCAGACGACTGATTGTGTTTGAACCGGAGCAACGAGAATAAACAACGTTTAAAGTTCTCTTCTGAACAAACAAACTTTCTTTATGAAACATTTGTAACTTCACTGAAATTAAATACAAACTCTAGAATCAAAGATGGCCGTCTGACATTGGTGTGGCTGTAACTGTTTGTTCTGTTACATTATTAAAGTCTTATTTATTATGTGTCACACTCCTTCACTATGAGCTGATCTGAACTCAGGTTTTATTCAAGTGGAATTATTCACATGTTTAATTAGGGCCCGAGCTACCGACGTCGGGCCGCGAAGGCCCTATTGATATTGTACCCGTTTGGGTAAACGTACGCATGGTTGGAGGACTTGCCATGCATGAAAACTCACCAAATTTTGGGGACTTGTCAGGCCTGGTGAATATAGACATCTGAAAAAGAATGCATCTTTCTGTGTTAAGAAATGGCTCTCTAGCGCCCCCTACAAGTCGGACCGGCGACGCCCCTTGGCCAGTATGTCCGATTGACTTGAAATTTGACACACATGTCCACTTGAGCTAGAGCTACAAAAAAGCCAATCAAACCCCTAAGCTCCGCCGAATTAGATTTTCCGCCATATTGAATTTAGTGTAAAACACATTTCTGCAAACTCCTCCTACATGCTTAGTCCCATTACTACCAAATTTGCTGTGGATCATTACTGGATCTACGTCATCAAAAGTTATCAAAAGCTTTTTGATATCTCTTTTTGTTTACAAGATATGTACCAATAAACTTCTTAGGGGCGTGGCTTAATATCAATACATATAACTTCTCAACCGTTTGTCCTAAAATCACCAGATTTTCAGCATATGTGCACATTGCATCCTCTAACATACCCTGACATTTGTTTTGCATTCAACAACTAGGGGGCGCTACAGTAAACCCTCGAAGTTGTGCTTTTTTGTCACTTTTTGCAGATTTCAGCCTTCGCACTTTAACGAACTCCTCCAAGAGATTTTAAGCGATCAACTTCTCCTTTGGTCAGGATGCTCTTAAGACCTTTGTGATTAAAAGTTATCAAAATCAAGAGTTTTCATCAAAGAACCTTGACGTGGCGTGGCGGCCATTTTGCCTCATTGTTTATGAAAAAATAAGTTGTTATAACTCCAAGGTACATTATCCAATTCGCACAAAACTTTTTATGCATGATGCTACTTCAAGCCTAAACATACTTCAATTGAAAATATTTCAATAACTCATAGCGCCACCTACTGGCTAAAGGAAATGTCATATTTTGTACTTTTATTTATTCCTCCTAGCCAGGTGACCTGATGAGTCTCATATTTGGTAAGGATGGCCTTAAGACATTGATGATAAATCGCCATGAATATTGTGAGTTTTCGTTCCATGCTGTTGCCGTGGCGACGCATAGTTTGCCATGAAAAAGGAAGCTGATGGTTTAGTGGGTTGGGATGCTCAAAAACTCATGGAACTTTGTACATGTGTCACAGGTCATTGGAAGAAATAGTTTATATGATTTTCTTTATTGGCCGTTTTTAAATTTCCTCTATAGCGCCCTCTACAATATTTCAAAAGAGCAGCCCCAGCGCTACGTTTTGGCTACATGTATGAAACTTGGTAGGCACATGTATCCTATGGAGACTTAAAAATAAGTCTCTTTGGACCATGCTCTAAACCCTACCGGAAGTCTGCCATTTTCAATTTTGTATGAATTGATACAATATTTAGACGATGCAGCCCTCGCAGTACGTTTCACTATCTATGTATAAAATTTAGATAACATTTGGTAAACAGATGTATCACATGTAGACTGACAAAAAAGCCCCTGGAGCTCGAAGCTCTAAACCCAACCGGAAGTCAGCCATTTTGAATTTAGTGGAAAAAAACACATTTTTGCGAACTCCTACACGCTGGCTCCGATTTCTACGAAATTTGCTGTGGATCATAAGTGGATCTAGATCATCAAAAGTTATCAAAATCTTTTTGATATCTCTGCGTTTACAAGATGTAAACGCGGGATTAAAAACGTCTCGCTCGCGGACGCGCCGTCCGACAGTCTCGGACGCGCAGGCCGGAGTCCCGCCGGCACCCCCGACGCGCTGCAGATTGCGAGGGTCCGTTCATCGCTGCTCGCAGCTTTCATTTTTATTATAATTATTTGATTTCTATTGAAATCCTGATTTTTATTTTATTTATTTTTCCCTTAAACCTCATCTTCATCTTCCTCATCTTCCTCATCTGTTGTGATGATTCCTAAAAGTTTGTTGAGAATAAAAACATGAATGTTTACAGTTTGATACTTTAAGTTTGTTTCTACAACTTCACATGTTTTAAATATTAATGTTAACCGTGAAATCACAATAAACATATAAACGACTTATTAAAGACACAAACCGTTAATAAGTGAAACCATTGTTACAGACAATAACAATAATAATATCACAAAGACTTAGAGAAGTTTAAACTTTACTCATTAAGATGTTTGTTTATTTTATTGCATCATTTTAAACTCAAACTTAAGTTGCACAGAATGTAATTAACTTATAGTTTGATATCAGAAGAAATGAATTTCTATGAAAGTTCTCAATAATCTGATTTACCAAACATTAAATATGAATGTAGTTTAAAGTTAAAACCATTACAAAGAAAAAGACGTTTGTTTAAAATACATTTACAGCTAATTAGTATGAATATTTAAAGTTCATCTGAACTTAAAGTGTGTTTAAGATTTGAACAACTTTAAATCTCAGATGTTCTGATATTTTGTCAGGAAACTAAAGAACTTTGTGTGAATCTGAATTATTGAGTTTATTAATCTGTTTGATGTCATCGTGACTCAACTGCTTCTTTACTGTATGTGTGTGTGTGTGTGTGTGCGCGTGTCTGTCTGTGTGTCTGTCTGTGTGTGTGTGTGTGTCTGTGCGTGTGTGTGTGTGTGTCTGTCTGTGTGTGTGTGTGTCTGTCTGTGTGTGTGTGTGTGCGTATGTGTGTGTGTGTCTGTCTGTGTGCGTGTGTGTGTCTGTGTGCGTGTGTGTCTGTGTGTGTGTGTGTGTCTGTCTGTGTGTATGTGTGTGTGTGTGTGTGTGGGGGGGAGGTAGTTCCAGTAAACGTTGATCATGTAAACCAGCTGTTCCAACATGAATCGGGTCACATGACTTCCTGTCCTCAGAATGTGGGCGGAGCCATAACTCAGTGATGAGACCTGCTGCTACTTGAAGAGAAGGATTGTGAAGTGAACACGTTATTATATTAATATTAATATCATACACACATCATAAACAAGTTCTCTTTGAAGTTTATTTTTATTACTTACATTTTTAATTTTGTGTTATGGATTTTATTTACTTTTATTCCTTGTTTTCTGATGAACTTCATGAATAAAATATAATTATAATTGTTAATATTATTTATTATATTATCATTGTAATGTTATTATTATACTGAAATAACAATAAGATAAACAACAATATGAAGATCATTAAAGCCTCTGATGACGTCAGGTTGATCAGCTGCATTAATGACGTCATGACTGAGCGCAGAGACGGTGGGATGCTCGGTGTAGCAGCGTTCCGTCGGTGATGTTCGTTATTAAGCCGCAAATGAGCTGCAGACACACTGACTTCATTTCCTTATGCGAATGACAGGAGATCGTTTGATTCTTTTCGTTTTGTCTTTATTTTACGCAACAAAGCGTTAACTAAACACACGCATTATATATACTGACACACACAGCGGCGGGCCGTGCATTTTATACATGGGCCTTCACTGCTGTCCTGCAGCTGAAATACCACCTTATAACTTCATTATGGCGCCACAGCTTCTATTCGTTTTTAAGGCTGTAACTATGTACGAGTCGTCTGAATAATGCTAGAGCATTTAGAAAATGCAAAAGCCTAAATTCAGGAAAATATAATGTCAGCTGGTCTGGCTGTGGGATCCGCCATCATTCCTTAATGACAAGCCACGACCCAAAGAGACTATCTTATGATTTTACTTTCACAACCTGAACGTTTTCCTCGTCTCAGCCCCCTGTGTCATGGTGTGTGCTACATCTTACCGAGTCAGAATGCCCATATTTGATTGGCTGAGCTGCATCACGTGATGTGATTCACTACCTGACAGCCTCTGCTGTTAAGTTTCGTTTCACGATAGTCACGTGCTCGCCCACTGACCAATCACAGCGCACTCTGCACCTCGCGGCAGAGCTACACATGGACACTGAGCGGCATATAATGCTGACGTCATTATAGTCCAGCTAGCAGGCTCTGACACGTCAAAGAATACGCCCAACATGTCAAACTAAAGATCTGATTGGTTGAACACTGTGACAATCAACAATATCGTCCCCATTCACTTAAACTGCACATGGATTCACTTGTGAGTCTGCAGGCCTCTGCCTCTCTTCTTACCTAGAGACACAGAGGTGAGATCTGATTGGATAAAAGCTCTACTTAAAACAAGCTGCACTGGAAGCAGAGCAACTGAGGAACACAGTAGCTGTGCAATGAGAAAATAAGATAATGGGAAAAATAATTAGAATACGTGTATTTATGAAAAATTATTAAATTATGATATAGCTATAACTTTGTGATTCTGTTTAGACCAGCAGAGAAGGCCTTGCAGGCCCTGACGGCGCACCACTGCCAAAACTTTATTAGACTACTACATGTTATCGTGGTGGAGGAGTTTGAGTGGCTCAGTGATCCTGGGAGCTATGTTGTCCGGGGCATTAGCCCCTGGTAGGGTCTCCCAAGGCAAACAGGTTTCAGGGGAGAGCCCAGACTAAGAGCAGTTGAAAAACGACCCCTATGATAGTTAGCCCACGGACTACAGCCACCTCCCCCGGACCAGGGAAACCGGGGTACCCTCCCGGAGCCAGACCCAGGAGGGGAGCTCGTAGGCGAGCGTCTGGTGGCCGGGCCGAATAAACCCGAATAAACACCATGGAGCAGCCACCCTGTGGACCCACCACCCGCAGGGACAAGCATCGGGGTCGGGTGCTATGCAGACCGGGCGGTGGGTCGGGCAGGAGGCCCGGCATGCCGATAGCTGGCGGCATAGACTAGCTCTAGGGACGTGGAACGTCACCTCGCTAGCGGGGAAAGAGCCGGAGCTGGTGCAGGAGGTGGAGCGATACCAGCTAGAAATAGTTGGACTCACCTCCACACACAGCATTGGCTCTGGAACCAAGCTCCTGGAGAGGGGTTGGACT